AAAAGAATTAGAAGATGTCCGACCCTTCTTCGTTTTGTCAGAATGCTGCTGCAAATTTTGTTGGGAACTTGTTTAGTGGAATTTTCACTCTTATCACAAAGCCAATTATTCTTGTGATACAGTGCGACAATAATGTTGACCATTTGAAGAACAAAGTTGCTGAGCTGAAGGATAAGAGAGAGACTGCGAAGACGTTTGCTGGAACTGCTGAGAGAAGAGGGGAAGAGATTGTACCAGAGCTCAGGAATTGGCTGACCAGGGCCGACAATTGCATTGAAGCTGCAGAGAAATTGGTAGCTGATGCTGATGCTGATGCTGATGCTGCAGAGAAATTAGTAGCTGATGCTGCAGAGAAATTAGTAGCTGATGCTGAAGGAAATGCCAAGAAGAAGTGTTTCTTTGGGCCGTGTCTCAATCCCAGATCTCGTTACCAACTCAGCAAAAAAGCAGAGGAGAATTCCAAGACTATTGATAAACTTGTGAATGATGGTCGTGAATACAAGCTCCCACTTGCCTACGTTCCTGCTCCACCAAAAGAAGTGGCCGCGTCCGTCGAAGGTTTTGAGGACTTTTACTCAAGAAAGGATGTTCTGGAGAGGATCATGGAGGCACTGCAAAGTCAAAGCAGCAGCATTATAGGGGTACACGGGATGCCTGGCGTGGGGAAGACGATGCTGGCCAAAGAAGTAAAAAGAAAAGCAGAGCAAGACAAGCTGTTCGATGTGGTAGTTATGGCTCTTGTTTCAAAGAATGCAGACTCGAAAAAGATTCAAGTCGAAATTGCCCGTGGTTTGGGTCTAGATGAGCTTCCTAATGGAATTGAAACTCAGGTTGCTGCTGAACTTATTAAAAACAGGCTGAAGAAAATGAAGAAGGTTTTAATCATTTTGGATGATATTTGGGAGTCTGAAATAGATTTGAAGGAGCTTGGAATTCCTCTTAGAAACGAGTCAAAAAAGACTGAGGGGAGCTCGTCAAGAGAAGAACATGCAGAGGGGAGCTCGTCAAGAGAAGAACATGTAGAATGCAAAATTCTGCTGACATCCAGAGATTCTAATGTTTTATTAGATCTGACGGGTTCTTCACAGAACTTTTCACTTGATAAATTAGAATCTGAAGAAGCATGGGACTTGCTTAAAAAGATAGTTGGTGACAGAGCAGAGAGCGATGACATACGTAGTACAGCCTTTGATATCGTCCAGGAATGTGGGGGCTTGCCCCTTGCAATTACAACAATGGCAAAGGCTTTGAAAAATAAGAAGCCTTACGAATGGAGGGATGCTTTGAGACAACTAAGAAAGCCCTCTGCAGAAAACTTCCATGGCATACCTGCAAAGGTTTATTCAGCTATTGAGGTCAGTTACTCTCATTTGGAAAGCGAGAAGCTGCAGGAAACATTTTTGCTTTGCTGCCTAATGGGTCACAAGGCTTCAATTCAAGACTTGTTGAAGTATGGTGTAGGCTTAGGCTTATTTGCTAACACCATAGGGGAAGCACGAGATGAAGTATTTACTTTGATTAGCAAGCTCCGAGCTTCTTCTTTGCTCATTGATGATTCTGACAATAATTGTTTCGATATGCATGACCTTGTTCATGATGTGGCTGTATCAATTACAAGTAGGGATCGTCGTGGGTTGCTGCTAACAGGGGACCATGTACCAAGGAAGTGGTCAGACATGGAGACGAGGAAAAATTTCAAATGGATTTGTCTGCGATATTCTAATGTTGATGGGTTACCTGAAGAGTTAGAAAGCTTCTGTCTCACTCTCTTTCGGTTGGCTAATAAAAGTGCTCTGCAAATTCCAGCAAACTTTTTCAAGGGAATGCCAATACTCAAGGTATTGGATTTGACTCACATGGATCTGTCATCCCTGCCTCCATCAATTTGCCTCTTGCAGAATCTCCATACATTATGTTTGGATCAAAGCGTGTTGGGGGACATACGCATTATTGGAGAGCTGAAGAATTTAGAAATTCTTAGCCTTTTGCGATGTGATTTTGAAGAGCTTCCAGGGGAAATTGGGCAGCTGACTCGGCTAAAGTTATTAGATTTGAGTGACTGTGCTAAACTCAAAATAATTCCCCCATGTGTCTTGGCAAATATGTCCGGATTAGAGGAACTGTACCTGGGAAACAGCTTCGATGGATGGGAGGTTGAGGAAAATGAAAATCAAAGAAATGCGAGCATTGCGGAGTTGAAGCATTTGAAGGAATTAACTACTTTGGAGGTATGCATTCCCGATATTCGGATGATCCCAAAAAATTTGTTCTTTGAAAATTTGAAAAAATTCAAAATATTCATTGGATGTAAGTGGGAAGACCAGTCTAGTTCCTT